CAGTGTCACTAAACTGGATATTGATACACAACAGCGACAGCAGTGTCACTAAACTGGACATTAGTACAAAATAGTGACAGCAGTGTCACTAAACTTGACATTGATACACAACAGCGACAGCAGTGTCACTAAACTGGACATTTAGTACAGAACAGTGACAGCAATGTCACTAAACTGGACATTGATACACAACAGCGGACAGCAGTGTCACTAAACTGGACATTGGTACACAACAGTGACAGCAGTGTCACTAAACTGGACATTGATACACAACAGCGGACAGCAGTGTCACTTAAACTGGACATTGATACACAACAGTGATAGCAATGTCACTAAACTGGACATTAGTACACAGCAGTGACAGCAATGTCACTAAACTGGACATTGTTACACAACAGTGACATCAGTGTCACTAAACTGGACATTGATACACAAAAGCGACAGCAATGTCACTAAACTGGACATTGATACACAACAGCGACAGCGGTGTCACTAAACTAGACATTGATACACAACATCGACAGCAGTGTCACTAAACTGGACGTTGATACACAACAGCGACAACAGTGTCACTAATCTGGACATTAGTACACAACAGCGGCAGCAGTGTCACTAAACTGAACATTATTACGCACTAGCGAGAGTGTTACTAGACTGGACATTATTACGTAATAGCAATAACATTATATTAGCACATGACTTCTTTTCTTCTAACTATACAATCACAATGTAATATGGGTGTACTCATTGCCAATACAATGTCATAACGCCCCATGATTGGAAATACATAATGTACATAAACAAATATATAAATAAATGAATGAATGAAAAAAAAATCTGTTTTCTTTTACCGGCGTGCTATCAATCTATTGTTCTTGATCGAATCCAGACCTACTATATTCATTATTTTAAAAATAGACTTAAAAGTATGTAGATGTAAGATAAGTTTTCCTAACCAAATATGCACTGACTTGTTATGCATATAAACCCGTATGTCTACTTCTGTCGGGAAATGCTTTCAGCAATAACATTGCTCGTTTATATTGTATGTGTTTTGTTCATAGATAATATGACACCTGTTCCATTTTTGTGGCAACCTCTAGACCTTATTGACGAATTCTATTCGGGAGAATGTAATGGCGACACCGTCTAGTTTCTACAGTAGTTTCTCAAGCGTATATTGTCAACTTTTTCGCATAACACATTACCTATACCACATTTTATTTGCTCTACAAATTTTCATCAAGTTATCTGAATTTGAATTAAATATTTCACTTATGATAATATATTTTGCATGACCACATTTCGAACGTATTATTTAAATCCGTATTACCGGGTATTCAATTACCTTTACTGTATTCTTCTTTATTTATATTTTATAAAATATTTATATTACCAAATTTCAACAACCTAATTTATTATGACGATGACGTATTTCTTCTCATTTAACATATACAAAAATCGCAACCAACTAAAAAAATTGTTATTTTTATAGTTTATTTGGGATTCGCAAGCGTGAAGGTGAAAATCACGTGTACACACCATTAGTTCAGACCACTTTCACCGTGTGTACACGCTATTATTATATCTATAAGAGGTGTTTCGTACAAACTCTAAGCTTTACTTCAAGGTCAAATGCATTATGTGCAACCGGAATGGGTTGGCAACGAATATATCGTGCTTGACGCGGTGTGGTGTATATAAGTATATAACCCCATCATCTTGCTACACAAATGCGCCCAATCACTGGTTGCCAACGAGCCAATCGTGCTTGACCTGAAAAGGTGGCACACATCCAGGTGGTCGAATAGCAGACCCCATCATCTTGCTACAAAAATGTACCCAATCATGGGAAGCCAACGAATTGCTATTGCTTGACCTGAAGAAGTGGCTAGTTTGCATCAAAACTTTTCAATAATTCATTAAAACATGCCACGTGCCCCAAAACAAAAATCGGAAAACCAGTGAGGAGATCCCCGTCCCGAGGATACTCACGCACGAAGGACGTTCCCGAGATCTTACCCCTGTCTTTATGACGGAACTGTTATGTTTTGGCGTTTTGCAATTATGGACTAAAACGAACTAACTCACAAAGACAGAAGTAAGGTTTTTGGGACGTCCTTCGTGCATGGGGATCCTCGGGTCGGGGATCTCCTTGATTGGTTTTCGATTCCTCCTTTTAAGGGTATCTTGACCAATGGCTGGCTGCCATTTTAATCTTAATCACGCGATAATGCAACTTACAGACAATCGAAATTTAATACATTTGTACGTGACATTTATGACGTCACTAGGAGGTACTATTGTGTAAAGCGCAACGATAGTTATTTTTCACCTCAATTGCGCGTTTTTTCAAATACGCTATATTACGCATAGTTTTGTTATTCATTCATTTATTTATATATTTTTTGTAAAAACTTTCCCTCAAGTCAAAATTCGACAAATAACCATAGATACACTGTCAAATACAAAAAGTAGGCCCGCTCTTGAGGGATCCGTACCGGCGCTTTCGGTGAAACGTTCAGTGCGAGGAGTGCGTAAATTGAATTAGTAATATAATTCTATCGAAATGATCAGAAAAAATCGAATAACACGAAGCGAACCGAACTTTTTCTGGTTAAGTGAGGTCATAATTATCTATTCTTCTTTTTACTATATTTGAAGAAGTACGTTTTCCATGTGAGAAACACTAATCTTTATTTACGTCATTGGAAGATGAAAGTGTACTGCAACCCCAATTGAACACCATCCTTGCAAAATTGTTGATTCTGGCTTGCGAGAGGTTGATACAAGCAGACATGATAACCATACCAACGACGATATAAAATGCTATAAACATGTGTTTAATTCCGGGATCGTATCGTGGCACGTAATCTCCGAAGCCTATCGTTGAAAATGTCATAACACAAAAATAAACTGATTCTAAATACGTCCATTGTTCCATTGCTGAGAAGACCACAGCACACACACAAACATAAATGACAAGTAATATAGTTAGTATTATTACCGGCACCTCTATTGCGTCAAAATCAACGTTTTCCTGTTTACTATTGCACATACGATAAGTCCGTGAACTGCTTTGCTCGCCATTAGCTTCATTGCTCAGAGAAATCGAATCCGGCGTTGTGTTGGTTGTTTCTGACATACTATTTTGTGAAGTATTGTTTTCTGTTGTGGAAACAACTGGGTTTAACAGATTTAGCTCAATTGTTGTTCCTGGTTCGCCGTATAACTCTTCCCTACGACTGATTGAATACTCACTCTCCTCGTCATAGGTATACGTAGAGACATTTTCGTCACTATCTTCTAAGTTCCGGCTATTGACGCATTGCTCTCTGTGTCGAAGTTGCTGTGACCCACATAAGAGATCACGCCACCTGGCGATGGCGCAAGAGATTGTCCAATAAATTCGTTTTACTGGAGCAGCCATTAGCGCACCAAGCTTCGCTAAATACAGGAAAAACAGCGGAATGCCAAAAATTGCGTAGAAAATGCATGCCACTTGTCCTAGTGGCGTAGTAGGTGCAATATGACCATATCCTAATAATACAAACATAATGACGGGACGGGTTAAATGATAGTTCAAGGTCATCTATAACAACTATTCGCATGGGTTAACGTCAAGTTGTCTCAACAAACAAACAATATGATAACATTCATTGATATGTAATATGATTAATAAATTATATAAAATGTTTTATACTATATCTATAGTATACATTTGTTGCAATTCCCTTCTTCTCAATTGCGACAATTGTCCAATTGTCGTAACATTCTTCAGCTGTTCATTTCGTACATACCGCGAAAATTAGGTACGAGGTCAGAATCATTTACCGGTTATGTTTGTACTGGGAAACTAGTGCAAATAAAACATGGATAGAACGGAAAATCACTGATTTTCCAACGCATGTCTCGGCTCGCATGATTAG